TGGTGGGCCAGTGTTTGCACAGTGGGGGGGTGTGTGTCCAGATGTGTATACTGTATGTAGTTAGTGCCACAGAGGTACACAGCTGGGAGGGCTTCAGGGCCAGATGAAGGGATTTAACCCCCCGCTGGAGTTTAAGGGTTCTAGTGAGAGAATAAATGGAAATAAAAGTCTTGTTCACAATATAGAACGCTCATTTAGCACTTTCCAACCTTTTTGATGTTCAGAATGTTTAAGGATGCAAAAATGACTGGAGAAATGTTAGTATATTTTTGTACAGTGAAGACACAAGGACCTGTAAGTTTGAGAAAAAAAGCTTAGTATAAAGTTAGAAAACAAACAAAAACCAAACTAACAGTGAATTATAATTATTTTTACTATCATATAGTTATACTGCTGCTTTACTCTGAAATATTGTTGTTCAGCACAAAAAAATGTATGCTTACCTGTATGTTTTGTTATTTTGTTTTTCCCCAGTAATTGATTTTGCACCTTTAGTGAAAGAAAACCTTGACTGACTGCGTCTTGGTCTTGTGATGCATTTTATAGAACACACTTTGAGATTGTGCAAGCCCTACTTGTGTTTTTGGGTGTTTTAAAAGTTGTAGTACCACATAATGTGTCACTGAAACAGCTGATCTATCTCAGCAAAAAAAAAAGAAAAAAAAAACAGAGGAAAAAAATTATGTACCAGTTGTTTCAGAGGCCTTAATTGGAGAGGAAAAAAATCTCGGGAGAATTTTCTTAATTTCTCAAGTTTGATGTTTTTCTTTTAGTGTTAGAAAACACTAAAATGTGTTTTATTTACTTTTATTTTTGCAACATTTATTTGATGTTAGTAAACACACGTAATAGAGAGAGAAATTGAAAGTAGTTATATGAATTACTTGTGATTTATTTTGATTTTTTTTGTCGGGTCATACATGTGTGAAGTATATTTTTTTATAATATTGAAGGTAATATAAGTTAATACTCTCCAGAGAAAATAACAAATCCTGAGTACTCATGAATCATGGAACGCAAATGGCAGATACAAAATGTGTTATATCATGTACTTCCTGTGAATCTAAATTTGCCTTTTCTCTCTGTGTGTTAAGTATTCGTAACAGATTGCTTACGCTGAGTTTTCAGTGGTAATCTGGCTGTAGGGTCTAGTGTTGTTTGGTTTTGGGCAGACAACTGCTGTTGCAACTGTAAAAATGAAATACAGGTACCTTGCAAAACGTCTTGGATAATTACATGATTTGGTCTTTCAGACATTCTGCAAATGTCTTCTCTTTGTCATTTAAAGAATTCAAATTCCTATTTTTGATAGCAATTGCAATGTGTGCCATTTTAACACCTCTTCACTCTAGGTTTATTGCCTTTGGATGGGGAGATTAACAAAATGCTACAAAAATGAGTAAAATATGCACAAAAATAGAGACCATTTTTATGTAATTTTAATGTTTGCAGTTACCTCATACACCGTACATTCCAAAATGAAAATTTGTTATACTATACATACTACCAGACATATCACTTTAAAATGTTCGTTATGGGAAAAATGTATAATCATAGATATGTATTTAAAGTGTATCTGTATAGCCATGATATCTACAAAGGATCCATGCACAATAAAAGATTTATAATTCTTAATCATGTTTGAAGTTTGGGTATATATTTGTCTTTGGATTACTCAAATAGAATATTGGCATGAAAAAACTTATTCCTGATTGGCTGCCAAATTTCTGTTAAAATTGTATCATAGGAAACTTTAAATATTGTTCCAATCAACAGTTTAACCACTTCTCTACGTTAATAACAGAAAGTTAATCGTCTTTATTGAGGTAATTCATCAAAATTCACTGCTTTCCGCTTCCCAAATGTGAGGATTTGGGGCTTTTCTGTCTTTTTATCATTGTAAATTAAAAATTCTTGTGGTTTTGGACAAACAATGTTTGAAGATGCCTCAGGCTCTGAGAAACTGTGATTGACATTTTTCACAAATTTCTGATGGCTTTCAATTAATCAAAAAATAACTCAGATTATTTAGTTATTAAAATAATGGTTAGATGCAGCCCTAATTGATAGCAATGGTATTTTCCTCCGCTGATACTCGCTAACCTATCTTGTGAAACAGGCCTAACCATGGTTTAACTGACAGAAACCAACTGAAATGGGGACCACAGTATATGTGATGGTGGTGGCCATGGTATAAGTTGTGTAAGTGTAATAATGCACTCTGGGGTGTATGTATATAGAAAATAATTAACAAGGATACCCTGTGCCATGGTGGGCTTTTGCCTTGTCCATTATTTTCATACTGTATTTCTTACATCATACAATTATATAATTTGGCTGAGAGAGCATATTCCTACATAAGTCTGGGAACGTTTAAATTATCCCCCTACAAAAAAATAGATAAGACTTACAAGTATAGCTAAATAACTAAAACACTAAAGCTCCTCAGAAGTCATAACATGTCATTTCCTGTTGCAATATTTCTTAAATATTTTCGTGACTATGACCAAGAAACAGCTATAGGAAATGCATGTAAAGGGACTCAAATCTACTGTATATTGACTATATTTTAGTTCAATATTAAAACAAAAACCTTTACCAACTCAAATCAGATGGGCTCCACATTATGGCACCAATGTGTCAGTGCGTAGAGACTTTAGACTGAAAGTAAACAAAAGGACTAACCCTGTAATCTGCTTTACTTTTATTAAGAACGTCTACATTGCCAGACTACCATTATTGTGTTTTTACAGATAATTATTAAGGCAGGTGGTTGCAACAACATTACCCTAAATCAAGAGTAAAACACAGATGATTCAAAATCTGGAGGATCTCTTCTCTTTCATTCTGTCACGAAAAGGTCTGTCAAGAAAACATCTGACAAGAAAATGTCCAAAGCATTTAGAAGAATATGATCAACTACCGATTGAAAAATAAAAAATCAGGGATTCTTCTGTCTGATCTTTATTTTGTAATGACTTCAGAATTCAGCACTGCGGCTACACCTCACAGTATTTTGTGTGTGTGTGTGTGTGTGTGTGTGTGAGAAAGAGAGGCAGTGTCAACTGAAAGCTTCTGAAATGATGTATAAGAGTTCCTGTTGACTGCACAAGCACAAGTGGTGTAATCAAGAGAGCCATGATTAATGATGGTGAAAGGGGGCTTACTCGTTGCGGTCTGGAAACCCTTCTACAAAAAACAAGCCAAAAGATGGGCAAAACAGTTTTTCCTGTCGGGATGCTTTGACAGGAGTAAAAATTGACGGAGGAGCTGTTCCTGCTGCCCCTCTGAGGTGCGAGTGGTGCATCCGCCTGTGGATCAACGGTAAATACACAAATACACCCTGATGTCAGTGTGACACTTGTTGCATGCAAAGGTTCATTTAGATCTAATGGATAAGGTGGCTCTGAACCAACAGAGCTGTACAGAGCACATAGCTGGCCATGCAGGCTTTGGTGATTAATGTTACTTTGGACACAAAATTTGAAAAACATGTAGATCAATACGCCTCTGTGCAAGTTCATGACGTAGACCTTTCACTTGCAATGTACTAGTTGTTGAAAGCCATTTAATTCACACACAGAGGCAACAATTCATTTCAGTGTCCATGCCAATGGTCATATTGATCTGCAGAACTTGCAACACTCTTTCTCTCACTACAAAACTTTCACTGAGACCGAAGACCTGAACTGAATTTGTGGATTAGTGGGACGTAAAGTCAAGAACACTGTGCAGTGACTTGTTGGAGGTCACACTAAATCAAAGCTTGTATTCTAATATTGAAAACCGGACTTTAAACCATGATCAGGTTGAAATACTCACATGAAAATCTCATAGATCAACAAATCCAGCGTCCTATTCATTCATTCATTGTCTAAGGAGATCACCAGATTTTCCTCTCAAGTGACCTCAAGATTTTTGTAGTCTTTTGACCTTTTTATGCCCTTGTTATGCCTCTAAGTACTGACTAAACGTATGTTTCCTTTAATAAATTTGCATTCCTCTTTAACCAGGATTGTTGAGGTTAGGTTTATTACAAAAAGCATGAGGTAACTTGAGGGTGAAGGGGAGCTGGTGGGTGTGTAAAGTGATGAAGCCAAGTAGAGGGACAGATGGGGCTCGTGGGCAATTAAGCAAACATAACAAATTTTTCAGTGAGTTCTTCCAGACGGCTTGGCAAACACACTGGGATTTCAGCGATTGATGTATTAATTAATAAATTTAGCACTCTCTATATTTGTATATTATAGATGATATGATATGATGATCCTCAATCTGCATTAGTCTCCCGGAGGAGCAGCATTGATGGGGGGTTCCCTCAAATCTTATTTCCTCCATCTTATGCCTTTTACCGCCATCCATCCCATCATCATTTGATCACTCAGAACACACACAAAAGACAACCTCCCTGTTGCTCCTTGACTCTTCAGAATACTGTGGAGGAGGTGCTCCTTTCTTTGTCTCTCACCAGAGCTGGACAGGTTATTGAGCGTCAGGGACCGGCTCTGCCACTTGATGAGATTCTCCTGCTGCTGCTGCTGCTGCTGCTCTCCATCGACACACAGAAACACAACACGGACCAAGAAAAAAGTAAAACGGTTGAGAGATCCAACACCTGTTCTAAAGGTAAAGTCACCAGCGATGATTTATTTTACACCGGGAAGGGATATCAGTGATTTGCACGTGTTAGCCCGTTCCTGCAACCTGTTTTTACATTATATTCAAGCCAACTATGTTCAAAAATCATATGGTTGTATTATATATTTATGAATACATGTTTCAGGGCATCCACTGGTTTCCATTCATTACTGAAAGTAAATTAACAGACACAGAGTTGTGTAATAATGACAATAATTGATCAATAAGTAAAAGAAATAGATTGAGAACATACTAAAACACAATAGAGATAATTTGCAGTTAAGAGAGATAAAACTTGAAAAGACACAGTTCTTGGTCCTGTAACATTCTTATTTTTGTCTCCTCAGCTGCTTGGTAAGTCTTGATTTCACACTTTACTCTGGTAGTTGGCATGCCCTGGACCAGACCCCAGGTGGACCTTCATGCTGGTGGAGCAGAGGCCATGGACCAGTATAACATAGAAGACCACCACTATAAGGGCTCCCTGTTCCCCACCTTCACCCTCATCCCTATCACTGTCATCTGCATCCTCATCTTCATTGTCGGAGTGACGGGCAACACCATGACCATCCTTATCATCCAGCACTTTAAGGACATGAAGACCACTACCAACCTGTACCTGTCCAGCATGGCAGTGTCTGACCTCATCATCTTCCTCTGCCTGCCCTTTGACCTCTACCGCCTGTGGAAATATGTGCCCTGGCTGTTTGGGGAAGTGGTGTGCCGCCTCTATCACTATATCTTTGAGGGCTGCACCTCGGCCACCATCCTTCACATCACAGCCCTGAGCATTGAGCGTTACATGGCCATCAGCTTCCCCCTCAGGAGCAAGGTGGTGGTGACCAGACGCAGAGTCCAGTACATCATCCTCGCCCTGTGGGGTTTCGCCCTGGTTTCTGCAGCTCCCACACTCTTCCTGGTTGGGGTTGAGTATGACAATGACACACACCCAGACTACAATACAGGGCAGTGCAAGCACACCAGCTACGCTATCACCTCCGGCCAGCTACACATCATGCTCTGGGTGTCCACCACCTACTTTTTCTGCCCAATGCTCTGTCTTATCTTCCTCTATGGCTCCATCGGGTGCAAGTTGTGGAAAAGCAAAAATGACCTACAAGGACCCTGCGCTTTCACACGTGAAAGGTCACACAGGCAAACAGTCAAGATCCTGGGTGAGTAATTTCTTTCATCTCTGCAGACAGATGTATGTTTCTTTTATGCTCATATCAGGCCGCAATCACGGCACATCATGGTCAAAAATGGAAATAACTCACCTGTACAGGAAACCTCCACCACTCAGCGGTAAGCCTATACATAATTTTGCTCTTTTTAGTTCAGTGTAAAAGTGTTCTATTTTGTACAAGATACATATCAGAAAGCAGGTTTTATTCCAGAATTAGACCATCTGATTCTGCTTTTCAAAACCTCTGCTTTTGATTGCCAAAAACTTAAAAGGCAGGCCATTCACATTCAGGAGTGACAGCATAGACAACTCTCATTGTAGAAAAAAATAGCCAGTATTTAGACAGTCTGCTTTTCATTGTTGCTAAAGAGAAAAACCAGATTCTGCTTTGACAGAATCTAGGATTTCTGAGATTTTCTGTGAGTTTGCTTTAGCAAATGAAACTTTTGTTTTCTCCCTTTGTGTACTCCATTCATAGAGGTGGCATTATGCTCATTTTCAGGTTCAAAATCCTATTTAGGGGTTGTACCAGAACAGGTTTACATGGTTTAAAAAACGCCATATTGTTTTCATAATGCACATTGCTGCAGCTTCTCTTTTCACCCTTTGTTGAAGGCTTCGTTTTAGCTATGGAGAGATACATCTTGCCTCTACATGATATTTGTTGGGAGTTGCACATGCGCAGTTCCTAGTTAAGGACTACTAGCCAATCAGAAGCAAAGAAGGGCGGGTCAGCGAAAGCCAGTAATAGCCAACAAGAAACAGAGAGGGCGGGTCAGCGAGAAGCCCATAAACAGCTTCGATTCAGCTGTAGGCTAGATGTTGCCAACCAGCTTGGCAACATAGAATGGAACAAGAGTTTCAGAGTGGTGAGGTATTAATCTGTAACAAAAGTATTTTCATTCATAAAGTTTTGACTGAGCTCTCTCTCTACATCACAGTAGTAACAACTTTATGTCCATTGACTGTCTGGAGGGTAGCTAGTGTTTCGAAGGGAGAGGAGAGGTGTGTGCTGCAGCTCAGTTTTTCCCCCACTGGTGTTTTTGAGGGCGTTTCTGACTAGCTGCTTGACCAGTGTTATATGAGGCGCATTTAGCTTTCATCCCTGTGACATCACAAGCTGTCAGTTCAGTCAGTTCAGAGCAGAGTTTTCTGTGGCAGATAGGAACTCCCTTTGGGCTGGACTTTGGGCTTTTTCACTTTGCAAACCTATTACATGCACAAAAAAGGTATATGACTCAATAATGGAGAGGGGAAAAGCCAAAAAAGCATAATACTACCCCTTTAAAATGTAAAGTAGTTTCACCTATTCTGTCTTTGTAAGAACTGTTACAGAAGCTGGTAACTGTATGTTGCTGTTGATTATTCTATTTTGTCTGAAGCTAATCATGTCCTTCCACTACACATACAGATTGGCTTAATTTACAGCTCTGGCATATTGTGCAGGAACCCCTATTTAAACAGTAAAAGACCATGGCCAGGCCGATCTGTATCAACCAAATATTTAATCATGATGTGTCCATTAGGATATTAATGCTCTTCATTAGCTGAGCACACACTGCACAGAGCTCATGTTTGACTTGAGCAGCCATTTGCATCCACATTTGTTGAATCCCAAATTGGATTGTCATCAGAGGCCTCCATAAATCAACCTTAATGGAAATGCACATGCTACCACAGTCAGTCCTGGGCTCCTTTTTAATCTGCCAGTATCACATCTCAGGAGTCACTCAATGATCGCTGTTCTCATATGGGTAAGACATTATTATTTCTGGACAAAACTGTGGCATCTGCTCACTCTGTGAATCCACAATATAGGTCTTCAATTTATGGATAACTGTAATTGTTATTTTCAACTAGTAAACGTATCTTGGTGAGATATATCTCTCTTTTAATAATTAAATTGACATTAAGTATCGTTACAGAAATTACTGTCTCCATCAACAAATTGGTGGTAATTTTATCTGCAGGGGCTTCATGATCAATACCAGCAACTCTGTGATTACATCACCCAGCTCTGAGATTTCTGGCTTTCCAAAGCTCAAGTGGTGTTTCTGCTGCACATATACTCTAATTAGCTTGCTTACTTGCCTGTATTGTGAAAATGTGACTTCATTGTTGAAGCAAATTACAGGCTGCCGTCACATACAGTAAGAGAACAAGAGTGGTTCTCTGAGTGTTCTTTTCATGTTAATTACAGCGGGTCATTAATTAAGGGCAAGAGTGACTATAGACCATAGACATCATCGTAAAGATCCTGAAAAACAATTTTCTTAATCAGCTTGTTATTATTAACAAGCTCAACTGAATACACTATTATCTACACTATTATTTTTATATTTGTGTGTACTGATCTTCTTACTGGTTTGATTGCTCACCACTCTAAATTGAAAGAACATAAAGAATTGAATCAAAACAGAATTGGTTGTTGCTAGAAAGATCACCCTATCAATCGAAGCAACTCTTCTTAGGTTTAGAATGGTATATATATATTGGAGTATATATAGATATTTAAATAAACTTAAATTTAATTGCTGCTTATTCTGTCACACATACTCAAAGGGACTGTTCACCCAGTGTACAGAAACATAGTCTCTCTATCACCTCTAGTGTATTTGTGGACTGGAGTCAGAAAATGTGGGTAGCTGATACCAAAACTCCCTACCTAGCTAGGAGTAATGTGAATCTTTAGTTTTTTGTTTTGTAAACTGGCCCTCATTGAATGCACCTTTAAAGGAAAGTTGACATTTTGGGAGAAACGCTTATTTGATTTCTTGAAAAGTGTTGAGTGATGAGATGATAAACTCTCTTATCTTCCTGCCAGCATCCATGCTAGCTTAGCTTAGCATGAAGACTGGAAGTATTAACACATTCTATCTTGTTTGTTTAATCTGTACAAAATTTAAAGTGTAAAAACATCAATATATGGTTTTACATGAGGTTATGTGCTGGGCTTTTTCTTGGCCAGATGCAGTGACTTCTGGGGTCCGATGGTTGCGGACAGAAGTGACTGCATGTCGTTTTCTCTCTTCGGTTTTTGCATTGATCATCAACAAGAATGTGGTCTTTAGCGGTGCTGGTAGGTGGATTTTGTTACCTTTGGGTAGAGCCAGATTAGCGGTTTCTCCCTATGCTAAGCTAAGCTAACCAGCACCTAGCTGCAGCTTCATATTTACTGTACAGACATGAGAGTGGTATATCAATCTTCTCATGTAACTCTCAGCAAGAAAGGTAATAAGCATATTTTCCAAAATGTTGACGCTTTGGATAAAAGCGTCAGCTAAATGAGTAAATGTAATATTCATTAAATTCCCTTTTAAATTAATCATATTTTCCCCTCCTTCTTTTATTTCACCCTCAGTGGTGGTGGTGCTGGCCTTCATCATCTGTTGGTTGCCCTATCACATTGGCAGGAACCTCTTTGCCCAGGTGGACGACTATGATACAGCCACGCTAAGCCAGAACTTCAACATGGCTTCCATGGTGCTCTGCTACCTCAGCGCCTCCATCAACCCTGTCGTCTACAACCTTATGTCTCAGAAGTACAGGGCTGCAGCCAAACGCCTCTTCCTGCTGCATCAGAGGCCTAGACAAGCCCACCGCGGCCAGAGACCGCTCTGTGTGATCGACCACATCTCCACCCTGAATGAAAGCCTGACTGGGGTCTGAGGGGCCTCAGCACACTCTGAGCAGTGTTTTGATGGGATTGTTTGACTTCATCACCCAGGGAGAGTGTGCAGGCTTTTTTACAGTTAAGGAGTTGTAGCTAAAGAGGAAACTTGTTGAAGATGTGTAGAGGGGGAAAGTTTGTTTCATTTCATCTTTGACAGGGAAAACAGCCCCACTGCACTTAAATGCAAAATCAAATGTACCATTACTCAGTGGTATTTTGTTTTTTAGAGACTGGATTTTCAGCCATGTCACAGGATTTTCAGCCATGTCACATTTAATTTTTTTTTCAAAATATACATAGTTATTCAGTGGATTCCAAGAGGAAAAATTGTAATTTATATTTTCCTGTTTAAATGTTATGCAAAAGTATTTACCTCTACATCGTGTACATTGCTTGGTGTTAGCACTTATTGAACACATGCACCATTTCACTTCACAATTACCAATCTACAGCACTGATTAATAACTGATCCCTCTTTGTTAATAACAGATGACATTTGCCACATTTGAAATGACTGTTCATTTATGATGTACATTCTGTTATATAAGAGTGAATTTCAGTGTTTGGTGAATAATTGTTTTTATACTATTTGGTGGTTGTTCTCATAAATCAATAAAAACAAAACAACGAAACTAAATGTTTAGTTGTTGGGATCTGAAATTGAGTTTTCTGGTGTTGGTGTATGTCTGTAATGGTTTGCAGTACTGTGTACCATCTCTCCAGTGGATAGGTAAAACATAAACTTAATAAAAGCAGATTAATTTGAAAATGGGGCAGTTGATGTCTGTGTGTGTATTACACAGGCCACCTGAGGCCTGAGGTTTTAGGGCTGTGCACGTGCCAGCCATCACATGTAATCTGACACGACTATTATATTACCTGGGGTCTGACTTAGATTTACGCTGGCAGCCAATGTCCCTGCATCACCATATTCAAAGTAATGGCTGCTCTAAGTGCATTTCAAAGAGGATAAAAAGATATTAGGTTGTCAGCAGCGGCAGAGCTTACGGCTTTTATTGCTTCCACTTGCATAATCTTGACACCATTGTACAATTCTTCTTTGATGTTGAGTTTTGGATTTGAAATTGTACACTTCTCTATCTCATGCACTCTGGCAGGAAAGTTATGTATTTTTAACCTGAACAATGTCTAATCCCAAAATAAAGCTAGAGTTTTCCATGTTCTGTCTCCCATTCATCTTGCTCTTTAAAAGGAACTGTCGTGATTTTGCCCATGAATCATCGGGCCTTGGTTTGAACAAATATAAAGAGACAAAGTCGCTCTGGACTGACTCATCCTCATGACACTTTTTTCATTGAGCCATTCATCTCTGCCAGAGGAGCTGAAGCAGTGGGTAAAAGCTTATTTCGCACAGACCATTCTGCCATCACCTGGAGAAAGATCAGCAAGCAGCACGACTCCTCTGTTGGTGATTTGCTTTAGTGATAATAAAAAGAGTGTCTGCGAGCAGTTTGTCCAGAGCTGTCAACACCTCCCTCAGGCATTCTTCACACCACCTCAAATCATTCAGCTTTAGAAATATACATACACTTTGTTTGTTTGTTTTGACTTTGAGGCCATGACTTCTACTCTATTAGCAATATATTACACACACCGCTCATGAATCTGCTATGTAGGGAGTCATTTATTTGAGTTATTAAAACAATTGGATAACTAATGGATAAAATGTGATTTCCTAAGCTCCAGCAGACTGAAATTCCAGCGCAAAAATATAATTATTTTAAAAAATTACTACAATGAGATTATATTTCTGCAGCTGTTTCTCTCGTCTCAAGGCCTGTTATTAAGCAACTGAGATGAAAATGTACTTAATTCATTTACAAAACGTTTTAAATCACTTTTTCAAGCAGTGTTTGGATGGCTGAGTCTGCCTCAATGTAATTGTAAAAGTGTTTTATGATTGTTTATGTATTGTTAAAGAAATATGACTTCAGAGATAAAGTAACTTCATTTAATACTAACTCACAAACAGGACAGGTGCTTATGGAATGTACTGAATTGGCAGAAACTACATGGATTTACACAGGGATTTAAAATATCTTTATTTCTTTTCTTTTTTTTACATTAATCTCATTTTCTGACACAGGTCCACAGGTCAAAATCATTTCAGAATTAAGTCTTTTTCACCAAAGGGGGGAGCCAAAGACTACTGCTGTCAGGAGAGACTTCCTGTGTGTGTCTGCATGTGTAAGGAAATATTACAGTAATATCAAACTTTTACTGTGATCAAACATTGCTTTAAACTACAAAAACACTGCTCTTTTACTTAAAAGCTTCTAGTTCTTACTTCTCTCTGTAAGAATTCTTTATCAGCTTCGCCCTTCAGCCCATTTCCACAAATTATCAGCAACACATTCACTTTCTATTTGTCTCCCTGTGCCGGCTGATTCATGCGCGTGGCCACAGGAACCTGTATTAAAATTTAGGTTATTTAGGTGAGCGTTGTGCAGGAAAACTCTTTCAAGAAAGTCTTCAGCTTTGCTGGTTTGTAAAGCCAGACTGCTCTCCTCATGGGCTCTGGTGCCATCACTTTGTCTCTCCTCCACCAAAACCCTAAGCTTTTGCCACCAGAAGCTGCCTGTGAGGTCAATTATCTGTAACATGGCCAGTATTGGCTGTGAATGCTGCTATAATGGAGAGCCCAGGAAATTTGGTGACCACCTATTTGCAAGTGCGAGGCCACTTATCGTGTGTAAATAGAAAACCCTGAAATGGTTAATCTAGCTCAACTAATGGCAGTCATGTCTCTCTGCCACAAAGAGCCAGACATGTGCCAGTGCCACCTCACTTTAACTGCGATCTTGTTGTCACAGCTGGGTGACAGTAAGACAACAAACACAAATGTGTCTTTGCCTTTTACAAACCACCAGGCACTCCCACAGTGCTTTCAAATGCCTTTAATGGTAGTAATGATAATGAGCTTAATTTATAAAGCACTAATCACCTTGTCTTCTAAAGTGTTTAGTAAACACTTTCCATTGTTTAATGAACCATGTTCCACACAGAAGTGTCAATGACCTGTTTCTGCCTCTAAATTGGTAGAGTTCCCTGCAATTTGGAGGCTAATTTATATCTACTTGGTATCTGTTACATGTTTGTTCATGAGCAGTGTTCAGGCCTACTCAGAGAGAGAGGGAGAGAGAGAAAGATATACATCTAAAATCTAAACCAAAAGATGTAAGTGATGTAAAATAAACATGTCAGGTTATGCTGATGATGGGACAGGATGCATTTTTAGCAGATTGGGCAGTTAATTTGACAAACTTAAGGAATATAACAAAACTGTTATTTCTCTCTGTGACATGGAGCAAGGTATTGTAAGGAATATTGTATGGTGAGTATACCATCAGGAGAAACAGCCTTGCTTGTAGTTGTGTGATGTGTTGTTGTTGAGTTAGAAACCAATCCATTATGGCTTCTTTACATTTACACAAACTAGTGTAGTGACTGACTCTCCTTCCTTCTGGTACCAAGCAGGACGACAGAGTTACCCTCAGATCTTTCATGCTTACATGAAAACTCAAAATGAGAGTAATTGACATAAAAGCTAATGCTAGAAATTCCCTGGACGTGCATCACAGGAATGCAGAACATTCAGAAGAGAACAAGCATCATTGGAAATGTGCAACGGTGAAAGCAAACTCTTCTTAGTTCTGCACATGATAAACTAGTTGCAGGAGGAGGGGAGGCTTCAACTGCAGGCATTTCAGACATGCACACCTAGTGAAAATCCTAAAGTCTGTGGTCCAGGCATTACTGTAATTCATTCATCCAGTATGATACTGAAGATGTAGATGTTGATCTGTTTTAAGTTAGTCTAGTCATATTTAGTTTTAGAGACCCTGCAGAAACTGCAGGATGATTATAATGATACCATAGAATACGAAAGATTGATATTCATCAACCATTACTGTAGTTGCCACTGGCACACAAGTGCTAATAGGAACATTAAAAAGATTTTTATTAGGATGGACATACTGCGGGTGGCCCAGCTAAATAGCTAAACTCAACCCCAATTGGTTTCCTATGCACAACACAATTATACCAACTGTTGTAGATGCCCAACCTCACATAGCTGAGTCAAGACAGAGATAGTCAGATGTTAGAAGGGTCTGCCTTCAAAATAAAAGTACAAATGTGTATAAGCACCTTTTAAACCTTAACTTTACACTGGGCAGAATACTGCTGCTACACTACAGACTGTGGATTGAAACTTTCAAAATGTTGCCTATCTGGCCACATTTTGATCACTGATGTCACAGCAGGTGTTTTCAATCATCTGGCAAAGACAAATGACTTGGTGGCTGGATGTGACCAGCGGTAAAAAGTGCTTGGCCTGCAGTGCAGCATAGGTTAATTGGTAAACTGATAGGTACGTTTTGTAAATGATTTGACTTAGGAAACAGCATGCTTTGCCCCACTTAAATTAATGTATTAGCAAGGACAGATATGTAGACTTATAAATGAGATGTAATATCACTGTATCAATGCAATGATGAAACAAAGGCATTTGTATGTCGCCCATGATGATAATTCAATACAAACATTCAATTTTCTCTACTCTCAGAGAAAACAGAATCAGTTTGTTGAAAAACCGCCAAAAGGTGTGTTTTATTTTGAAAGTCTAACAGAAGTAGTTTTTTTCTTTAAACCTGTCTGACTTGACAGCGCTGAGGGAGCCAACTGTGCGTAAAAGTTGTCCACTCCTCCTCCTTGTGCATGAGGCAGATTTGGCTCCAGATATAAACACAGAGATCCTCTCTGGCCCAGTTGCTCACTTCACTGTTATCACAACTAGCAGGCAGTTTGCTCCAAGTGGCCGAAAAAACAGGAAAAAAGCAGGAGGGAACGATCTTTGGCACATTCCCCAGGATGGAGGTAACAACTCTAAGACTCAGAGCGCAGTTTTCTTTTGTAGCCTGTACGTTTAAGCCACTTGAGCAGATGTTTTTAACATTTATGTGGTTTTGTGTAGCCATGTGTGGTTGAAATTAAAACATTACATCATAGGAGCCCAGTGAGTGACTTTAAGGTTTTTTTTTAATGGTCTGTGTTATTACTGTGATATTTCTGTAGGGACTAGGCCCTGTCTGTGCAATTTACTCAAAATAATATTGCGTTTGTGTTAGTATAGAGTATTATATCCACGCTTAGTTTTGTTGGCTACTCATCACTATAAAAATTGACAAACGAACAATATATGTTATGTATTATGAACTTTAATAGACTAGTTGCACGTGATATTTGATTTATGTAATGGTACTTCTCTTTCCTGGGGTTGTAGTTGTTCTGTTAGCGCACATACACACACCCCAACATATAGATTCAACAAAAGCAACAGGATTTTTGTCTCTGCTGCTTCTTTGGTTTGAAATTAGGTTTGTGGTAGACTGCATAACGAGAAACCACAGTATGAGAGGAAGAGGAACTGACGGAACATCTGTCATGAGCTTTATGTGCTGATAAATATGTGGGGTAAATGGCGTTAGTCAACTGGATTGTTTTTAAATTATTAGTAATTTCCCACCCATTGGACCCTCTGCTGACAAGCCCTTATTTCTCTTGTCAAAGGCCAAACTGTCCTATAGGTGGTCTGTCCAAGGTCTACAACATATTTTTTTACTTCAGGGTTTGCTCACAGGTTTGTGGCCTCTTCCCTGCATAACAAGCTGTTCCCTCAGCCTTTTAACATAATTTTCAAGTATTTAATGCCATGTGGCAAATAGGAAGAGAAACACCCATTTCTCCCCCCACAGCATGTGAGAGAGCACACTAGTAATTTACCACAAACATACTCTCACATACTTACACCACTCAACTTTAGCACTCCGTAATACTTGAGGCCAGTTCAGCTTTAAGTTAAGCCAGTTCAGTTCAGATTAAGATCTTATTCTTTTTTCCCTGTTCCCATATTAGGAAAAGATGAAAGAATGGTAAAAAGATAAAGGGGAGCTTTAAACAATATTTTTCTTATACATAATAGCCACAGTTTTTGTGAGATAAACCTGTTTTGACAGAAAAATCCATTAATAGTGAAAACTGTTATTTGGGAGCCCAGCCCAAATCTCACAAGCACAGTTTTCAGTACAAGCTATTAGTCTAGCAAGTGATTTTTAGAGGTTGGTGACAATGAGCAGTGCTGTAAAGTAAGTTTAAACTGAATCTTGATGATCTTGAGCTAACCAAGGTACTGTTATAAATGTAAACATTGCTCACCTATTTCATAGTTGATTTCTCACCTCAAATGTATTCAGGATTGGATTTCTGTTGATGCTTTTAGGTACAATGTGACACTTCATGGTAGCCACTTTGATTTTCCAGTCTTAAAGTAAAACTTGGTCCAGTCAAGTTCAGGTGTTTGATATTTCAGATAATTCAGACAGTCATCGTCAGTAGTTTTCTGCAAAGTCATTGTGGTCTGCACCCATTGATGACAGCAAAGCAATGGTTATTGAGTCTTGCCACATCTTGCTGTTGTTGATGTCAAAATTTGAGTTTTGTTCTGAATTTGTGATTGATCACTTCCCTGATAATTGCTAGTTGCTGATAATTCCAACCTGTAAACAATCTGACACCTAAAATGAATTTTGGTAAAATGGATCAGTTCTCCCAGATGTTAGCTTTTGGGAATGGGACTCTTTCATGTTTGCACACATTGATTTACATCAACTGCAAAATTAGATTAATGCATGCAAAAAGATTTGTGTTTATGTATCGAAATGTCAAGCTATAGTAGACAAAATGAAAAAAAATTGTGCACTTGTGTGTGTGTGTTTGTGCATGCACCTGAAGATTTGTACTGTATGTGTTGAGTTGTGGGGTGGGGAGGGGTGGTTTTCCTTTGATGGAAAAACAACACCACAGCTGGAGGGGTGAGTTTTTGGGATTGCCTTGCCAACCATATGGTGTGCACATTTATTATGTAATCCATAGTAAAGTTAAAAGACCAATAACACTGGTACTTGGTCTGTACCAGCCAGACATTTGCTAATGAGTAAATTTTTTCCCCTTTTGCTTTGTAGCAGTATGTCATTTAAATACTGTCACACTATCAATGTTTGTTTTTGTATGAACCAATACTTCTACCCGTACTACTTATACTACAACTAATGCTTGCCCTACAGTCAACTATCACTAGAACCTGTGTGTCACGGTAAAATAATTGAGTACTGTAGCATCCTTGCACAAAGCGTGAAAGACACTGGTATTATGTTCAGAGCTTGTCAGAACTGGACATTATCAGTGACAGATGCAGTTTTAGGTGTTTGCTGAGGCTGTATGCGTTTGAGTGCTGTATGAATGGTTCACTCTGTCCTGAACATAAAACAGACACCAAACTGACCGTGAAGCTCAGTGGAATGTAAAGTATCAGCATCAAGAAAAGCCTATGAAACTTTAGCCCGTTTTCTAAGTCACAATGCTGTTATGGTTGGATCCCTGTTCAGATCACACCACACAGTGGAGTGTGCATAAAATGTATAAATGTTTCCTGATTGTATGGCTTATACAATTCATTAACAACCTGTGATTACAGGGCTTCTGAGCCACGATAAGATGCGCTAGATGAAGAGCACATAGGAATGATAGGACAAACCACTAGCATCTCATGTGATTACAAAAACTCAGATTCTACTGATGCTTCCTGTTTTTAGAACATCCTGCTAACCACATCAGCTTTCTCTAATATTGTATCTTTAGCATGTTTTCTACTTTCTGTGCATTTATTTGAACTCGATTGTCTTTTGAAACCAGGCGTTTCTAACACCAAAAATGTTGAAATTGCAAAATCAGCAGGAAGTTCATAATTTTGCAGAATCTTCATATTTTCCCTATAGTTACTGCACTTTGCCTTCTCTGTTTCACAACATATTTAGTTTCCCTGGTGATAATATAACTTTTAGGCAATATTAACTGTCGTTGCCATGTGAGTTAGGCAACCCTCATCATGAAAGTAACTTAAATTCCTTTTGGAGATTTTGACCATTATAGCACTCTTCAGAAATGCTTTGAATATTACCTCATGTTCTATCAGCACCCAGATGAGGATGCAAATGCTAAGAACTAGTGAGGTGATTGTGGTGCAGCGGGCATTAATGACAGTCGACAATTAAAGTATAAATGTGTCGCAAAATGTGCAATGCGCAAATTAAAGATGAGGAGAAGAAGACTTGTGGTCAATGCGGGTTTCAAGACATTCAAAATATGGCTTAGCAAATTTTGCACAGGTTTGTTAGGCCTGAAGAATACACACAGTGTCTTGGCTGACAAACATTGAATGTAAAGAAAACTGTTTATAGGTCTCATTGAAACTAGTAACTAGTAACTTTAATTTGGTTCTGCAGTGCTGTGTGCCCTGAAAGTGATGATATACAGTATCAGCTGGAACATTTTCAGCAGGCTCTTACAAACAGGATATTATTGCTTAAAAAATAAGCTGCTCACTGTGTATAGTTGTTTGGAAGCTTGACTTGTTGGAGGATATTTGTACCATTGTAAAGCATTCTTATCTCTTAGTTGCTTTAAATGCTTTTTATTGCAGAGGGGTTGTTCTTTTCTTTAACATTGTTATTTTTTCTGCCATTATGGGCCCTCAAGTTGAGTGCTGCTATTAGGGATCAGGTTGTGTCAGACGCTGCCCCTCTGACTTTCAGTCTGAAGAAGTGCATGTTGAAGAGAGATAGCCAGGGTGGGAACAACACTGAAGATAGTAAGAAGGTAACTGTGATCTGTGAAAGAAAAACACTTGTGGCTTTCAAGGAAGTTATGTCATGAAGGGACAGGAAAGAAATTCTTTAAAATAATGCTGATTTCAGCTTTCAGCCACAGTTCACAACCTCTCAGTCCCAGTTTAGTTTGTTCCGGACAAGTTTTTGAGATCTCAGACAAAATTGTCATGTCAGAACCGACTTGAGGCAGTACATGTTATTGTCATCAAAGCTGGCTAGGTTTGATCCGGTCAGACAGGCAGCCTGAGTCAGGCCTTAAGCTGCCTCAGACATCTGCAGATTGTCAAACATGTTTAGTCAGTAGATTATAAAATCTACAAATGTGAGATACATGCAGGCTGGACTTTATAGTCAAGTTTTGCATTTTTACTTAAACGGGCTATATGTAGTTTTTAATAAAATTAATTATTTTTATTGCCATTTGTGAATGGGTTGTAACCTCACATAAAAATGAACCACACAGCTCCTTTCTCAGTCGCTTGGAACAACTACTACACTGCTTCCAATGGGAAGACATTTGGTCGGCTTTTGAGCGAAATCCATTGGTTTACATAGGCTGTGACATTCATGTGCGCCTGAGCCTCTTAATGAAATGGAGTCTGCTAACACAAAAAAACAACCTAGCTTATGCCGACTAGTTGCTAACGCCCATTGCAAAATACTACAGTTGAATGGCTTGCCACGTTACTTCATTAGGTAACACTGGTAACGTTATTATGTCAAAGTGTTAATTTTAGCCTGTTTGTAATACCAATAGTGATGCAAGGCAGAGGCAGCTACCTAAATTACCATGTATCTGGCATTGTTTGCTTCGTAACATTCAATTTAGATTTATTGTTGTTTTTTACTGATACTCAGGAACACAGCTTCTAAGCCCGTCTCAGTTGCCATAACTTCAGTCTAGCTCACTAACCGTTTTTATTATCAAACAATAAATTTAGTTATGCTGACATTGCTGAAGCTCTTTGCTGAAAGATACACAAATGGTTATTGAACAGCAGTCGGCTAAATGCAGTCAATTTAACATTATCATGCAACGAGCATGGATTAGTTCAACGTCAAGCTGGTAAAAATTATTGTCCAGCATTTTGTGTGTCGGTCTCTGTTTTGGCTCGCTCATTAGTTCATGCACGCGCATGAGCACACACTTGT